ATGGGCCATCCAGTCCAACCCCTTTCTGCCAAGAAGCAGGAATATTGCATTCAAATCACCCCTGACAGATGGCCATCCAGCCTCTGCTTAAAAGCTTCCAAAGAAGGAGCCTCCACCACACTCCGGGGCAGAGAGTTCCACTGCCGAACATGATTTTACCTTGGCGATTTGGTATATATGTATTTTATCTATATGTATTTTAATCTTGTATTGTTGTATGATGTTTTAACTTGTATTAGTAGCATTGAATCCTTGCTGTAAGCCGGTCTGAGTCCCTCTACGGAGGTGAGAAGATCGGGATATAAAAGTTTTAAATAAATAAAATAAATAAATTACTTAAAATAGACTTTGCTTATAACAAGACCATAAACATTTGAAGCCCATCCATGACTTCAAACATTTAAACATGGTCATCATATTCATAAAATCATAGAATCCTAGAGTTGGAAGAGACCTCGTGGGCCATCCAGTCCAACCCCATTCTGCTAAGAAGCAGGAAAATCACATTCAAAGAACCCCCAACAGATAGCCATCCAGCCTCTATTTAAAAGCCTCCAAAGAAGGAGCCTCCACCACACTCTGAGGCAGAGAGTTCCCTGCTGAACAGCTCTCACAGTCAGGAATTTCTTCCAAATGTTCAGATGGAATCTCCTTTTCTGTAGTTTGAAGCCATTGCTCCGTGTACTAGTCTCCAGAGCAGCAGAAAACAAGCCTGCTTTCTCCTCCCTATGACTTCCCCTCACATATTTATTCGTGGTCATCATGTTTCCTCTCAGCTTCTCTTCTGCAGCTCTTTAAGCCGCTCCTCATAGGGCTTGTTCCCCAGACCCTTGATCATTTTAGTCGCCCTCCTCTGGACACATTCCAGCTTAGAGTCAACATCTTCCTTCAGTTGTGGTGCCCAGAATTGGACACAGTATTCCAGGTGTAGTCTGACTAAGGCAGAATAGAGGAGTAGCATGATTTCCCTGGATCTATAAACTATACTTTTAAAGTGATGGTACTTACCTTGAAGGCCTTACATGGTCTGGGGCCGATGTACCTGAGGGACCGCCTCACCCCCTACCAACCCCAGAGATCTCTCCACTCCGAGGACCAAGATTTATTGGAAGTTGCCAGTTTTAAAACCTTGCGTCTAACAGCAACTAGACGCAGAGCCTTTACAGTAGTGGCACCATCGCTCTGGAACACTTTGCCACCAGAAGCCCATGCCTTGCGGGATTTATCAGCTTTCTGCAGGCCTTGTAAGACATATTTGTTTCGACAGGCTTTCGATCTTTGATATGTTGTTTTCAATTGTGTTAGATTCTAGTTTGTTTCTTGTAAGCCGCTCCGAGCCCTAGGGGAGTGGTGGCATATAAGTTTGAATAATAAATAAATAAATAAATAAAATACTTATGCAGACCAAAATACCACTGGCTTTTTTAGCTGCTGCCTGACATTGTTGGTTCATGTTTAACTTATTGTCTACGAGGACCCCAAGATCTTTTTCACATGTCCTGCTGTCGAGCCAGGCATCATCGTCCCCCATTCTGTATCTTTGACTTTCATTTTTTCTGGCTAAGTGGAGTCTCTTGCATTTGTCCCTGTTGAACTTCATTGTGTTAGTTTTGTCCAATCATCTCTCCAATCTGTGAAGATTGTTTTGAATCCTGCTCCTGTCCTCTGGAGTGTTGGCTCTCCCTCCCAATCTGGTGTCATCTGCAAACTTGATGATCCTGCCTTCTAAGCCTTCATCTAAGTCATTAATAAAAATGTTGAATGGAACCAAACCCAGGACGGAACTGTTCCCTGCTTGTGGCACTCCACTTGTCACTTCTTTCCAAGGAAGCATTGGGGAGTATCACCCTCTGGAGTCATTCACTTAACCAATTACAGATACACCTCACCGTAGTTTTGCCTAGCCCACATTTGACTACTTTGCTTGCCAGAAGTCCATGGGGGACCATGTCAAAGGCCTCACTGAAATTTAGATACGCTCCATCCACAGCATCCCCTGTATCTACCCAGCTTGTAACTCTATCAAAAAAAAGAGATCAGATGAGTCTGGCATGACTTGTTTTGAATGAATCCATGTAGACTATTATCAATGACCACATTCATTTTTAAGTGTTTGCAGACCACCTCCATAATTATCTTTTCCAGAATCTTGCCTGGTATTGATGTGAGGCTACCAGACGGTAATTGTTTGAGTCATCCTTTTTCCCCTTCTTGACGATAAGGACCACATTGGCCCTCCTCCAACCTTCTGGGACTTTTCTCATTCTCCAAGAACTCACAAAGATGATTGCCAATGGTTCCGAAATTACTTCCGCTAGTTCCTTCAATACTCTTGGATGTAGTTGATCTGGCCCTGGGAACTTGAATTCATTCCAGGTATTCCTGGATCACTTGTTTCCCTATTTGGGGTTGGATTTCCCCTAATCCTTCTTCCATTCCATGTTGCTGAGGTTGAGAGAGGCTTTTTTTTTTTGTGAGATACCTTCTCCAGGCGAAACATACCCACTTCCTCATAGGGATCCATGGTTTCCAGATCTTCTACCATTCCATGTTGCTGAGGTTGAGAGTGGCTTTATTTTTGTGGGATACCTTCTCTTCTCCAGGCAAAATATACCCACTTCCTCATAGGGATCCATGGTTTCCAGATCTTCTACCATGCACAATTATACATAGAGTTGAGCAACGTAGATGTTCAATGACAATATTTCACAACTGGAAGCACATCTTAATGTGCAGACACACAGTCCACATTGGCACATTGGGATGTGTGTTTATGTGTGCCTTCAAGTTGACCACTGACTTACTTAAAGATTTCATAGGGTTTTCTTAAGCAGCAGTACATACACCAGTGTTTCTCAACCTTCCTAATGCTGTGACCCCTTAATAGAGTTCTTCATGTTGTGGTGACCCCCAAAAATAATATTATATTTGTTGCTACTTCATAACTGTATTTTTGCTACTGTTATGAATCGTAACGTAAATATCTGATATGCGGGATGTATTTCCAAATCCCAGGTACCCGATATGCCCAAATTTGAATACTGGTGGGATGGGGGTGATTGATTTTGTCATTTGGGAATGTTGGAGTTGCTGGGATTTATAGTTCACCTAAAATCAAAGAGCCTTCTGAACTCCACCAATGATGGAATTGAATCAAACTTGGCACACAGAATTCCCATGACCAAGAGAAAATACTGGGAGGGTCTGGTGGACATTGACCTTGGGTTTTTGGAGTTGTAGTTCACCTACACCCAGAGAACACTGTGGACTCAAACAATAGTGGATCTGGACCAAACTTGGAACAAATACTCAATATGCCCAAATGCGAACACTGGTGGAGTTTGGGGAAAATAGACCTTGACATTTGGGAGTTGTAGTTGTTGGGATTTATAGTTCACCCACAATGAAATAGCATTCTGAACCCCACCAATGATAGAATTGGACCAAACTTCCCACACAGAACCCCCATGACCAACAGAAAATACTATGTTTTCTGATGATCTTTGGTGACCCCCCTGACACCCCCTCATGACCCCCACAGGGATCCTGACCCCCAGGTTGAGAAACACTGACATACACAATTCTCATTTGGGGAACCATGCCTCCATTTGGTCTCTCAGAAGTTTACTCTTGGCATTGCTTTTCTAGCCAACTGTTCTTCATCATCTCTATTATGATAGGATGGAATATTCAATGGGAGGGTGGCTGTAATATGATATAAAATTGGAGAAAAAGGAGCATAAGAGGCAAGCAGCGCCGAAGGTGGTTTTGGCTTTGTTTGTTGTTTTTTATTATTATTATGTGGGTACCTTGATTATCTTAAGCAAACTTCAGATCCCACTGATTACCTGGCTTAAGATGATGTAAATATATGCCATGCATGTTTAGACATGTTTAGAGTTTGAAATTAGAAGCACATTGAAGCTTTCTCGTTTATTATTGATAAACATTCATCTCAATCCTGAAAACTGCAGACGTTTTAATGCCCGTATGGTATATAATATATATAATTCTATATAATTTTTCCCAGCCATGAGCCCCTAGGTATTGGGGACTACAACACCCATTCCATGGCAGTTAAAATTGGTGTCAAACTGCATTAATTCTACAGTCTAGATGCATCCTTGGCCATGTTCCAAAATTCCTTATTTCCCTTCTATCCCTCACCAATATTACTATCTCATATCATTGAAATTTAAGGGCATGGAACTAGGTTATTCTAAGCGAGACCATTCTGCCTTATGAATCTATATAAATAAAAATGTAATGTTTGTTTGTGGTGCCTATGAACCCACCAGGACTTTGAGATCTTCCGGGGAGACCCTGCTCTCGATCCCCCCTGCTTCTCAAGCTCGGCTGGCGGGGACGAGAGATAGGGCCTTCTCGGTGGTGGCTCTCGGCTGTGGAACGCCCTTCCTACGGACATTAGACTAGCACCATCTCTAATGGTATTCCGCAAAAAGGTGAAGACCTGGATGTTTGTGCAGGCGTTTGAGTAATTTAGTGCAATCTGGTAATGGAACATAGGAATGGAACAATGGACGACGAACCTGGACTACGCTTGGATGATAAGAAGATTGGATACTGTAACTGTTTATTAATTGTGTAATGTGTTAGGTTGTTAACTGTTTCTATACTGTAGCACTGAATTTTTGCTGTTCGTATTTGTTGTGAACCGCTGTGAATCGCCTTCGGGCTGAGAACAGCGGTATATAAGTAAGGTCAATAAATAAATAAATAAATAGACTAGCACTGACCCTGCTTAGTTTCCAAGATCAGATAGGACTTTCCTCGTCCCACTTTAAAGCTTGCAGAATTCTGGGACTTGTAGTTGAGCGAGAATGGGAAAAGCCTCCCCCTAAACTACAAGTCCCGGAATCGTGCAGGAGGCAGCCGCAGGATTGAAAGCAGGTGCAAAACATGAATCCTCTTCTCTGGGTTATTGTCTTCAGAGCATGACTTGAATCTCTGTGTCTCCCTTTGTTGTTTCTCCTTCCAAGGTGGAGATGGACAGGATAACGAAGACGGAGGGGAGCTGTACCCCGCTTTGCCTCAAAGACAGGACGGAGGGCCGATAATGAAAACCGAGGAGGAGGAGGAAGAGGAAGAGGAAGCCCTTTCTGCCCCCGAAGTCCCACGCGCCGGGGAGAGGCCCTTTGAATGCCTCGTGTGCAGGAAGGCCTTCGCCCAGAAAACCCACCTCACCCGCCACCACGCGACCCACACGGGGGAGAAGCCCTTCCGGTGCTCGGAGTGCGGGAAGACCTTCGCGCAGAAGTCCCACCTGGCTTCCCACCGGGCCACGCACACCGGGGAGAAGCCTTTCCAGTGCCTAGAGTGCGGGAAGGCCTTCGCGCAGAAGACGCACCTCACGCGCCACCGGGCCACCCACACGGGCGTCAAGCCCTTCTCTTGCTGGGAGTGCGGGAAAGGCTTCAGCCAGAAGACGCACCTCACGGCGCACATGGCCACCCACACGGGGGAGAAGCCCTTCAAGTGCCAGGAGTGCGGGAAGGGCTTCAGCTGGACCACGGACCTCCTCGCGCACCAGGCCACGCACGCGAGCGAGAAGCCCTTCGTGTGCCCGGAGTGCGGGAGGGGCTTCAGCCAGAAGAAGAACCTCGTCTCCCACGAAGCCACGCACACGGGAGTCAAGCCTTTCCAGTGCCTCGAGTGTGGGAAGAGCTTCAGCTGGAAGCTCAACCTCAACCGCCACGCGGCGACCCACACGGGGGAGAAGCCGTTCCTGTGCCAGGAGTGCGGGAAGAGCTTCAGCTGCACCACGGACCTCCTGCGCCACCAAGCCACGCACACCGGCGACAAGCCTTTCCGGTGTCTCGAGTGCGGTAAGGGCTTTGGCTGGAAGAGCAGCCTGCGCTCCCACGAGGCCACGCACACTGGGGAGAGGCCCTTCCCTTGTGGCGAGTGTGGGAAGAGCTTCGGTCAGAAGTCGCACCTGGCGGCCCACCGGGTCACCCACACGGGCGAGAAGCCCTTCCGGTGCCTGGAGTGTGGGAGGGGCTTTGCGCAGAAGTCACACCTCGCCTCCCACCGGGCCACGCACACTGGGGAGAAGCCCTTCCGGTGCCTGGAGTGCGGGAAGAGCTTCGGATGGAAGCTGAACCTCACGCGCCACCAGGCCACGCACACCGGGGAGAAGCCCTTCGCGTGCCTGGAGTGCGGGAAGAGCTTCAGCTGGAAGACCGACCTCATCCGGCACCACTCGACACACACCGGGGAGAAGCCCTTCCAGTGCGGCGAGTGCGGGAAGTGCTTCAGCCAGAAGATCAACCTGGCCCACCACCGGGCCACCCACACCGGGGAGAAGCCCTTCAAGTGCCTCCAGTGTGGCAAGGGCTTCCTCTGCACCACGGACCTCATCCGGCACCAGGTCACCCACACGGGAGAGAAGCCCTTCCAGTGCCTCGAGTGCGGGAAGTGCTACAGCCAGAAGATCAACCTCAACCACCATCGGGAGTCCCACGCGCGGGAGAAGTCAGCAAAGGGAACCTGAGGTGGTGGCACATCCACTAAGGCACATCCTTTCAGGTAACTGAGGAGCAGTGGGTCCTCCATTGTTGCTGACCTAGAACTGTGTGTACATTGAACTCGTGTGTACATTGTCCAAACTTATTTCCCTCTACGAACTCCCAAGGACCGTAAGATCGTCTGGAGAAGCCCTGTTCTCAGTCCCACCACCATCACAGTCGCGTTTGGTGGGAACGAGAGACGGGGTCTTCTCGGTGGTGGTCCCTCTGCTGTGAAGATCAGATCTGCTCCATCACTCCTGACCTTCCAGAAGAAGCGAACAAAGTGAAACTTAATTCAGACAAGACAGAGGTCCTCCTAGTCAGTCGGAAGGCTGAAAAGGGCATAGGGTTACAGCCTGTACACTCTAGGAGACACACAACATATATAGACAAACACACAGAACTCGTGTGTACATTGTCCAAACTTATTTCCCTCTACGAACCCCAAGGACCTTAAGATCATCTGGAGAAGCCCTGTTCTCGGTCCCACCACCATCACAGTCGCGTTTGGTGGGAACAAGAGACGGGGTCTTCTCAGTGGTGGTCCCTCTGCTGTGAAGATCAGATCTGCTCCATCACTCCTGACCTTCCAGAAGAAGCGAACAAATTGAAACTTAATTCAGACAAGACAGAGGTCCTCCTAGTCAGTCGGAAGGCCGAACAGGGCATAGGGTTACAGCCTGTACACTCTAGGAGACACACAACATATATAGACAGACACACAGAGGCTATTTAACATTCCAGCTTCTGGCCACCAGGGGAGCTGTCGCTTCACCATCCATTTGTGACACTGATGAAGTACTTCCTCATTCTTTGCAGGCTTGCTGGAGATTTTTATGGCATCGTAAATTTGTTAAATTAGCCTCTCCACAAACACGGTACCTAAATTTCCAACTGTCTTTTGGGCTGCAAAGGTCGACAACAAGCTCCACAAATTGGTCAAAAGCTCACTCCGACCCAGGCTGGCTTTGAATACATGACCTTTTGGTCAGTAGTGATCTTAATGCAGCTGTGCCACAGTCCATAAATAGTTCCAGCCCAGCTTACCTGTCTGAATGTATCACCCTCTACGAACCCCCAAGGACCTTAAGATCGTCTGGAGAAGCCCTGTTCTCGGTCCCACCACCATCACAGTCGCTTTTGGTGGGAACGAGAGACGGGGTCTTCTCGGTGGTGGTCCCTCTTCTGTGGAGATCAGATCTGCTCCATCACTCCTGACCTTCCAGAAGAAATTGAAATCCTGGTTGTAGGATCAAGCGTTTGCAGAAATAGTAGTCATAGAATCATAGAATCAAAGAGTTGGAAGAGACCTCATGGGCCATCCAGTCCAACCCCCTGCCAAGAAGCAGGAATATTACATTCAAAGCACCCCTGACAGATGGCCATCCAGCCTCTGCTTAAAAGCTTCCAAAGAAGGAGCCTCCACCACGCTCCGGGGCAGAGAGTTCCACTGCTCTCACACACATTGGATCTCATTCCTTGATATTTCTTTCTAAAAGACAGGAGGGAGGGGGTCGGTTTGATGTCACTGGGAAGGGAGTTCCACAGGTAAAAGCCACCACTGAGAAGGCCCTGTCTCTCGTTTTCACCAATCATGCTTGAGAGGATGGTGGGACCAAGAGCAGGCCCCTCCTGTCGATCTTGGACTTCACAATCGCATACAACTCCCCTGTTACGCTAGCTCCACTGGCTGCCTAGCACAATTCAAAGTACTGGATTTAGCCTATAAAACCCTAAACAGTTCCGGACCAGTTTACCTGTCCAAACTACGATCCCCCAAGGACCTTAAGATTGTCTGGAAAGGCCCTGCTCTAGTTCCCACCACCATCACCGTCGTGTTTGGTGGGAACGAGAGACCAGGCCTTCTCGGTGGTGGCCCCTCAGCTGTGTAACTTCCTCTCTAACAAGATCAAATCTGCCCCCTCCCTCATGCCCTTCTGGAAGAAGCTCAAACCCTGATTATAGGATCAAGCGTTTGCAGAATAGATTGTTTTAATGGTAAGAGTGTTTTAGTGAATGGCAATGGACTGATTTGGAAGACGACTTGAAATGGCGAACTGTTTTAATGTATATTTTTAATGGTTTTTAATGTATGCTAAGTGTATGTTATGCTTTGTATTTAATGTTTGGCACCGAATGGTAGCCGTCCTGAGACCCTCTTCGGAGGTGAGAAGGACAGGATAGATATGCTCCCAATAAATAAATTCATAAATTCATAACCTTTTGGAAAGGCGTCACCTTTTAGAGACCATAACCTTTTGGGAAACCGGAAATCTCCATAGCCTTTTGAAAGCATGATGCTTTTGGAGATTAATTGGCATCCACGCTATTTGGAATAATCATGACCCTGTTGTAAGGTATGAGGCCTCCGACACACTGAGGTCTTTCTCATACTAAGTAGTACTAACACTGAGGCGAACTAACACTGAGGCCTACTAAGCTATTTTCACAATTAATTGGCATCCACACTATTTGGAATAATCATAACCCTGTTGTAAAGTGTGAGGCCTCCCTCACACTGAGGTCTTTCTCATACTAAGTAGTACTAACACTGAGGCAAACTAACACCGAGGCCTACTAAGCTACAGGCACAATTAATTGGCATCCACGCTATTTGGAATAATCATAACTCTGTTGTAAAGTGTGAGGCCTCCCTCACACTGAGGTCTTTCTCATACTAACTAGTACTAACACTAACACTGAGGCCTACTAAGCTACAGGCACAGTTAATTGGCATCCACACTATTTGAAATAATCATAACCCTGTTGTAAAGTGTGAGGCCTCCCTCACACTGAGGTCTTTCTCATACTAAGTAGTACTAACACTGAGGCGAACCTAACACTGAGGCCTACTAAGCTACAGGCACAATTAATTGGCATCCACGCTATTTGGAATAATCATAACCTTGTTGTAAAGTGTGAGGCCTCCCTCACACTGAGGTCTTTCTCATACTAACTAGTACTAACACTAACACTGAGGCCTACTAAGCTACAGGCATAATTAATTGGCATCCACACTATTTGGAATAATCATAACCCTGTTGTAAAGTGTGAGGCCTCCCTCACACTGAGGTCTTTCTCATACTAAATAGTACTAACATTGAGGCGAACTAACACTGAGGCCTACTGAGCTACAGGCACAATTAATTGGCATCCACGCTATTTGGAATAATCATAACCCTGTTGTAAAGTGTGAGGCCTCCCTCACACTGAGGTCTTTCTCATACTAAGTAGTACTAACACTGAGGCGAACTACCACAGAGGCCTACTAAGCTACAGGCACAATTAATTCTCATCCATGCTATTTGGAATAATCATAACCTTGTTGTAAAGTGTGAGGCCTCCCTCACACTGAGGTCTTTCTCATACTAAGTAGTACTAACACTGAGGCAAACTAACACTGAGGCCTACTAAGCTACAGGCACAATTAATTGGCATCCACGCTATTTGGAATAATCATAACTCTGTTGTAAAGTGTGAGGCCTCCCTCACACTGAGGTCTTTCTCATACTAACTAGTACTAACACTAACACTGAGGCCTACTAAGCTACAGGCACAGTTAATTGGCATCCACACTATTTGAAATAATCATAACCCTGTTGTAAAGTGTGAGGCCTCCCTCACACTGAGGTCTTTCTCATACTAAGTAGTACTAACACTGAGGCGAACCTAACACTGAGGCCTACTAAGCTACAGGCACAATTAATTGGCATCCACGCTATTTGGAATAATCATAACCTTGTTGTAAAGTGTGAGGCCTCCCTCACACTGAGGTCTTTCTCATACTAACTAGTACTAACACTAACACTGAGGCCTACTAAGCTACAGGCATAATTAATTGGCATCCACACTATTTGGAATAATCATAACCCTGTTGTAAAGTGTGAGGCCTCCCTCACACTGAGGTCTTTCTCATACTAAATAGTACTAACATTGAGGCGAACTAACACTGAGGCCTACTGAGCTACAGGCACAATTAATTGGCATCCACGCTATTTGGAATAATCATAACCCTGTTGTAAAGTGTGAGGCCTCCCTCACACTGAGGTCTTTCTCATACTAAGTAGTACTAACACTGAGGCGAACTACCACAGAGGCCTACTAAGCTACAGGCACAATTAATTGGCATCCACGCTATTTGGAATAATCATAACCTTGTTGTAAAGTGTGAGGCCTCCCTCACACTGAGGTCTTTCTCATACTAACTAGTACTAACACTAACACTGAGGCCTACTAAGCTACAGGCATAATTAATTGGCATCCACACTATTTGGAATAATCATAACCCTGTTGTAAAGTGTGAGGCCTCCCTCACACTGAGGTCTTTCTCATACTAAATAGTACTAACATTGAGGCGAACTAACACTGAGGCCTACTGAGCTACAGGCACAATTAATTGGCATCCACGCTATTTGGAATAATCATAACCCTGTTGTAAAGTGTGAGGCCTCCCTCACACTGAGGTCTTTCTCATACTAAGTAGTACTAACACTGAGGCGAACTACCACAGAGGCCTACTAAGCTACAGGCACAATTAATTCTCATCCATGCTATTTGGAATAATCATAACCTTGTTGTAAAGTGTGAGGCCTCCCTCACACTGAGGTCTTTCTCATACTAAGTAGTACTAACACTGAGGCCTACTACGCTACAGGAACACCTGCTTATATTGAACTGCAGCTTTAAGAGTCATTCCATGCATTAACCCTTTCGGTGACAAAATACTTGTTTGAGTGAATCTTCTCCTTAGTGGTAAATATCTACTAGTATTCATGCAAATTAGGGTTCTCAGTTGTTAGACTGATATACCTGGTTATCTCTCTGAGCTGTTAGGAACAAAGATATGCCAATGCACAAAAACAGTAGCGTCTCAGAAATGCTTCTTTCAGTGCCCAAAAACATCTACTTTTCCATTAAATGTATTGCCTTTCAATCATGCTCTCAAGAGGCAGAAATAAATAGTCTTAATTAAAAAGTTATATAGTTTGTTTACTTACAAACTCCATATATTCAGCATACAGGTACATTGCTTATCAATGGTTTGACGAAGTTTCTCTGTACAGATAAAAACAAGGCATCTTTCTTATGGTCTTAACAGTCCAAAGTCTAAAGCATCTCTGCAATCTGAGAGTCTATGGAGTCTGAAGTCTGAAAAATGGAGTCTGAGTTTCGAACAGTCCCAGATCTAATCACATGGTGGACAGTTCCTCCCACAACATAAGAGTTAAGGAAAACTGCCTCTAAATATGTAGTCCTTCACCTGGCAACAGCCAAACCAGTGATATCACAGTGGGCCACTTCACCTTCAACTATTGTGATGCAAATGTACATAGAGTTGTTGTAGGTTTTTTCGGGCTATATGGCCATGTTCTAGAGGCATTCTCTCCTGACGTTTCGCCTGCATCTATGGCAAGCATCGAGGATGCTTGCCATAGATGCAGGCAAAATGTTTGGAGAAAATGCCTCTAGAACATGGCCATATAGCCCGAAAAAACCTACAACAATGCAGTGATTCCAGCCATGAAAGCCTTCAACAATGCAAATATACATACTTTGAATGTTTTATATACATTCTGGATTCTTATGACCCGTGAATAAATCGAGGGTTGTTGCCAATTAATTCAGAGAAGGAGGTGGTTCACTTAAAATACAGTAGGAATTGTCATGCGAGACATATAATTATTATTATAGACATATAGCTATTCTAGATGTATAGGTATTATTATTATTATAGGCATATAGTAGATGTGTAGATATTATTATTAAAGACATAGATATTATAATAGACATACAGATATTTTTGTAGACATATAGATATTATTATGGACATACAGATATTATTATATAGATATTATTATAGACATACAGATATTATAGACATACAGATATTATTATGGACATACAGATATTATAGACATATATAGATATTATAGACAGATACTATAAACATAAATATTATTATAGACATATATATTATAGACAGATATTATAGACATAGATATTATTATATACATACAGGTATTATAGACATAGATATTATTATAGACTTATAGATATTATAGACATACAGATATTATTATAGACATACAGATATTATAGACATATAGGTATTATTATAGACATACAGATATTATTATAGATATACAGATATTATTATAGACATAGATCTTATTATAGACATATAGATGATATTATGGACATACAGATATTATAGACATATAGGTATTATTATCGACATACATATATTATTATAGACATAGAGTTATTGTAGACATATAGGTATTATTATAGACATATAGATATTATAGACATACAGATATTATAGACATATAGGTATTATTATAGTCATATAGATATTATAGACATAGATATTATTATAGATATATAGATATTATAGACATA